GTGACCACAGCCTGAACGAGACCCCCAGGCACACACGACCACCACGTGTGTGACCACAGCCTGAACGAGACCCCCAGGCACACGACCACCACGTGTGTGACTTCAGGCTGAACGAGACCCCCAGGCACACGTGACCACCACGTGTGTGACCACAGCCTGAAGCGGACCCCCAGGCACACGTGACCACCATGTACAGAGATACCACCTGAACGCCGCACTGAGCCATTGTCAGCAATCTGGCAGGGGCGTTACCTTAAAAATACCCTAGTTCTGGGCTGGCACCATGGCTTATCGGTTAAGTGTGTGCGCTCTGCTGCTGGCGGCCTGGGTTCGGATCCCAGGTGTGCTCCGACGCACCCCTTCTCCAGCCATGCTGAGGCCGCGTCCCACATACAGCAACTACAAGGATGTACAGCTATGACATACAACTATCTACTGGGGCCTTGGGGCAAAAATAAATAAATAAATAAAATTATTAAAAAATATATATGTATACCCTAGTTCTGCAAATGCACCTAAAAATAGTTATTCGGTTTGCAAGCTTTTGTATCTGTGACCTTTTGTTCAAAATGTTTCTGAGCTTCACATATGTTACGATTTTCAGAAACTTTTAAGTAGAAAATAAATATTGCCATTATTTTAATGTCTGTTTCCTCACATAAGCTTCTACTAATGTATACATTTTACTAGCAAACATTATTTAATGCTGTGGTGCATCTGAAATTATGCAACTCTACAATGCAAGTTCGTTTCCAGAAAATCTAGAAAGGAATCTAGAAAGGAAACCGAGGTGCTAGCACATTTCAGACCCTCCGCTGTACTCATCACACAGCGTGGAGATGCCTGCTTCAGACGCTGTGCCCAGAGGCAGCGCTGGGAGGAAACTTTCAGACAGCAGTGCAGAGAACAGCACCCAGAGCACAGTGGCCGTGCCAAGTGGAAGAAGAGGAGGTCACAGGCTGGCGGGGCAGAGTCCAGAGAGCAGGACTGCTCAGAGAAAGAGCTCCGGAAATCCAGGAGGGACACCGAGCCCAGGTGATGCTAATCTGTGCACGTACGGAGGAAATGCTCCAGAGCCAGGCACACAGGGTGAGACACGTCCCAGTTCCACCCAGCCAGAGCAGGGACCTCACTGAAGCTCGGGCCAGCAGAAAAGACCCCAGAAGGGCCGTTCCTTAGTATTAAGGCTAGACCAGCCCTAGAACACAGGCTGCCCAGATCCGCCCTAACACAGCTTCAATTAACACAAGCCCCAAGAGGACCGGGTGACTCACAAGTAACCACTCTGCTAAGATGAACATCAATGTTCTTTAAAGGAAGACTGTAAAATCCAGAGCAGCCTTATCCACAGACAGACAATGTAAGCACATACCTAATTTTAGGTTTTCTAGCAGCCAGGCTAAAATTAATCTTAACGTGCAAATAATCTTAACATATTTCACTTAATCTAATACACTGAAAGCATTTTTATCCAAACACATAATCCAAATAAAATTGAGACACTTTTACATGTTTTTGAACTAGTCTTTAGAGTTCTAGTTTGTAGTTCACTTTCACCATATCTAAATCCAGACTAGTCACATTCAAATTTCCCAACAGCCACCGGGGCTAGTGGCTGCTGACTGGGGCAGTCCAGATCGTCTAGACTCAGCAGTGTCACACCAGCATCCACTCAAAGAACAAGGCAGCCAACCACGGCCTCCACCCAGAGGGAAACCTGCCAACAGACAGAGCCGGCAATGCCAGAGACGACAGAATCAGTGGACGAGGACTTGAAAAGCAGCTGTAATAAATGTTATAAACATGCCCAAAGATTTAAAGGAAAACATGAACACAATGCGAGAGAATGGAAGGTGCAAACACGAAACCAAATGGAATTCTCGAGATGAAAAACACAGCATCTTAAATGAAAAACTCACTAGCTGGGATTAACAGCAGGTTTAGACACAGCATAAGAAAGCTCAGCGAATGTGAAGCCATGGCAACAGAAACAACTCAAACCGAAAGAGGAAAAGACAGACTAAAGCAAAGAGACAGAGCGTTAGTGATGTGTGGGATATACCAAACATCTAACAAACGTGTCCAGGTCCCAGAGAAAAGACGAAAGAGGGGTGTTAGGCAGAAATGACATTTGAAGAAATAACGGCTGAAAATCTTCCAAATTCAATGAACACGATAAACCGACAGGTCCAAGAAGCTCAACAAATGTTAAGCAGAATAAACACAAAAACATGCTACGACATATGAAAAATAAATCGCTGAAAGTCAGTTACAAAGACTAAAATCTGAACGCATCTAGACGAGGCAACAGTCAGCAGACTTTTTCTCCAAAGGGCCAGAGGGCAAATATTTGAGACTCTGCAGGCCATGCACAGTCTACAGCATGTTCTTCTCCTTCTTCTTAGAACCCTTCAAAATGTAAAAACATTCTTAGCTTGTGGGCCAAGTGCACCAATCCTTGATCTTGACCAAAAAAGAGACAACACAAATAGAAAAAATAGATCTAAATGACTGCAGACACTTCTTCAGAAACAGCGCAAGTCAGACACATTTTAGAAAGGAAAAAAAGTCTACTATAATTCCGTGCCCAGGGAAGAGGAATTTCAAAAATGAAGGTAAAATAAAGACTCTTTTCAGACAAAGAAAAGCTGAGCAAATTCACTTTCAGCAAATCTGTACTATAAGAACTATTAAAGAGGGCTGGCTCAGCAGCCTAGTGGTTAAGATCGGTGCGCTCCACTCTGGCGGCCTTGGCGGCCCGGGTTCAGTTCCTGGGCGTGCACCTACACCACTCGTCTGTCAGCGGCCGTGCCATGGTGGTGGCCCACATACAAAAAGAGGAAGATTGGCAACAGATGTTAGCTCAGGGCAAATCTTCCTCAGCAAAAAAAAAAAAATTCTTGCAAAAAAAACCCAAAAAAGAAATATTACAGAAAATTCTTCAGGACAAAGGAAAATGACAAGAGATGAAAGAAATCTGCGCATACAGAAAGTTATGAAGAATGTAGAAATGGTGAGTATGTGGTAAATAGAGATTTTTTTTTTAAGTTTCTTTAAAACATAATTTAAAGTAAAAATAAAAAGTAAAAGAACTAGTGTGGGAAAGACAGCTAGTGATGATCTGAAAACAACACATTCTCCCCTAAGAGCCTGGTCGCTTGGACGGGCTCTTCCCACAGGAGTGGCGCCATGCGCAGCCCACCTGCCTCAGCTGGAGGAGCATCCGCGAGTGGTCCCCGCCTGTGATCTGGTCCAGGAGGCCGTCCACCATCTTCTTGCTGTAGCTCCCAGCATCCTTCACAAACTCCTGCAGGCTAGGGGGGGCCGTAAGAGAATAGGCTGAAAAGAACACCACGTGCTCCAGTCTTCCAGATTCTGCCACCAATGCCGGTGGTCCCGATTACAGAGACCGGCCACATGAGCACACTCCTCAGACGTTCCTCTACAAGAGAGGTTCTTATTGAGAGCCTCGGACCTCCCAGATGTGGTTGTTGTGGGGAGTGGACCAACGGCCTTCATCACATGTGGTCCATGACCCAAAAAGGTTAAAAAGATCCCGAGAAAAAACTGTTAATTAAAAAAAAAAGCAAGATGAACAACAGTGTATACGCATACATATGTAAGATATCTTATGCTAACTCTAGTAAAAGAAGCATATTCATATCTATTTGTCTTGGATTTAAAGACAAAAGTAGGGGCCAGCCCTGGTGGCCTAATGGTTAAGTTCGGCATGCTCCACTTCAGCGGCCTGGGTTTGGTTCCCGGGCGTGGACCTATACCACTTGCCTGTCAGTGGCCATGCTATGAGGGCAGCTCACATAAAGAGGAAGATTGGCACAGATGTTAGCTCAGGGTGAATCTTCCTTAGCAAAAAAAACATACAAAAAAACCACAGAAACACATGGAGGAGAGGTGCACAGTGTAAGTGGCTACCTACTGGGGAGGGGAGGGAGCAGGTGTGAGAGCAAGACTCTCCACGTACACCTTTTAGTGTCATTTTGATCCTGGACCATATGAATGCTTAAGAAAAAAAATAAAACCAACCAAAAACTTTTCAAAGGAGGCAGAAAACAAAAACCTACGGTCCCAGCGTCAAAGACCAGGCAAAGGCTCAGAAGCGCTGCCCAGACTTCAAAGACCTTCACACGGAGTGAGGAGGTGGTTGGTCCGGAGCGAAGCCATGACACCACGGCAGTCTCTACCAGGAGCATTTCACGACAGACCACCAAAGTGACTGCTGAGAAGGGAGCAGGGACTAGCCGCAACAGTCACGGCGTGCTATCTGAGGAGGGCAGCGTGGGGAGGCCCTGGAGGAAGGGGCGCAGACCACAGCGGACAGGGCCTCGGGCCAGGCCCTGCCTGTTTGCTTTCGTGTGCTGCTCGCACGCACAGCAGCGAGTCTCATTGGGTGGCACCCGGGCTCCGTATTCGTCTCAGGAGCAGGCACTTGGGGAAGGCAAACTCGGTCTGGCTATACTGTGCTCCCTGAACAAGAGGTGACTGGTCCCTGAAGAACTCCTGACAGGGTGACGGGCAGGAATGGGCAGGGACACTGACTTGTGACACCATCCTTTCCTGCAAGAAATTTCCTCCTCAGTTCTCCATTTTCGCTTCCTTTTTCTCACAAAAACCTGGGTTAGGTATGCATTTACTGTTTTAGAAGCTAACTGATTTCTTGTTTATTTTTCAAATATTCTCTGTATTCTTTTGGGAATAAAACAAAGATCTAATATGGAAAGATTCCATTTCTTAAGAGGCGAGCAAAATTAAGTTATTTTCCACGTAGGAAACTACTAAAATTCTACAAGAGTGGCCCACTTCAATGCTTTGCCACAGAAAACAAAAAATACACACAAAAACGTTCTATAGAAATGCAGTACTACATCTCCAATTTTAATATGACGTCTTAGTCACCGCTAGGGGCTGAAGTGTGTGGTCAAAATGCGTGTGTTGAAGCCCTAACCCCCAGAACCTCAGCGTGTGACTGCATTTGAAGACCAGGCCTTCAAAAGGTGACTAACTTAGAATGAAGTCTTTCAGGGGGGCCCTAAGCCAACATGACTGGTGTCTTTCCAGGAAGAGGAGATCAGGACACAGAGGGACGACCACGTGAGGATACAGGGAGGAAATGGCCGTCTACAAGCCAAGGAGAGAGGTTTCAAGAGAAACCAGCCCTGCCAACACCTTGATCTTGGACTTCCAGCCTCCAGAACTGGGAGACGATAAAAGTCTGTTATTTATTTATTTAAAGGAACATCTGTGGTCCTTTTGTTCTGGCAGCCCGAGCTAGGACAGCCCCCAAGAACCACATTTCATACAACTATGAAACAAATTCTTACTAAACGTACACAGTTGGTTACACACACATGTTCTTTTTTAAGCTACAGTTCAGATCATCGCCTTCGTAAAAGTGTGATCAAGCTACCTGAACTTCAAGCCCGGCCTGCAGTAGACCAGAGTGGCTTACTGAAAACAACCTGTCCACAAACAGGCCCTGAACGACTCACTGGGAAAATGGCTCCTACCGCATGTCAAGCAAGAAACCAGCCCACGTTCTGCACACAGCCACGCCACCCGACACTCACCTCAGTGCACACTGCACACCTGTCTCATCTCCGTAGGCAGAATAGAGCAGCTCCGTTTCATCCGATTTCAACTCACCAAATACTGAATTATTGTGCATTGAAAGTGCAGTGCTGGCACTTGAGAGAAATGTGACTGAGAGTAAAAGACAAAGGGAACTTGTGAAGACATCGGCTTTGCACTCAGGTCCCAGCCAGCACAGGACGCACTCCACTTTCTCCTTGCAGCTGCTCGCACACACGCCTGCCCGCCCATACAGCCAGCCCCCGGTCGTGCCCGGCCTCGTCTGTGAGATTCTCACTCCTCAGCACAACTGAAGCAGGAGAAGCCTTTCAGGCATAACCTGCAGAATCACTCCCTCAGCCCTTGTTTCACCTCCGAGCCAAGGACTGCAGAGAAGTTTAGCACTCCATAAGGGAGTGAGCACGACACGCGGCAGAGCTTGTGGTGACTGGGCTCGTGGGCGTCCCAGACATCACTGGGGAGGGAGCCGACAGAGGCCGGCTCCTGCTGAGGGGATGTAAGGGGAGGCAGGGGCTACCGCCCTGAAGGGGGCATGTGCTGGCACCCGTGGGAACGACGTGAGGGGCCAGGAGGGCTGTGTCCTGGGCACGGAAGGGTGGGGGAGCATCCCTGGCCTCTCCTAGCTAGACGCCAGTAGCACCCTGGTGTGACAGCCAAAATGTCTCCAGACAGTGTAAACTGTACCCTGTGAACTAAACGGCTGCACACACACACACACACACACACACACACACACACTCCAAAACCAGCCAGAAAACCCACCACAAACATAAAGCAGCCACAAATACAACACAGAAAACACACCATATCTTCCCTCCCTCTACCACTGTGCCCGCCCAGCCCGCCGTCATTCTCTCGAGACTTTCACACACAGATCTCTCTCTGCTGCAGGCAGCATCACCGTCCCCTCCAAACAGATGAAACGTGAGAGTTTGTTGGAGGAAATTAACATTCCACCACTAGATCACCACCTGGCCCCCAGTCCCAGCTCCCACCACCGATGGTCGCAGCCCTCAGGAGAATTCCACGTGTGTGGCTGAGACCTTCCACCAACAAAGAGCAGATGGCAAAAGAGGAGCATGCCCAATGTAGCTGTTATTTCCAACGCTTGAAATGATCTTAATTTTATTATTAGTTTCAAATCCAGAATCTGGATACAGTAGTGAAGATACGCGAGCTAGGAAGACCTTGGAGGAGGAGTCAGGGATTCACTCCTCTGCCGTGACTCACTGACCCCGTGCCCCTCCCGCTCGGTGGACACTCACTCACCTCTGCTCCTCCTCTCGTCTTTGAAGCCCAGCGTGGTGAAGCCGGGGAGCAGCTTGCTGGAGAGCGAGCTCAGGTCCACCGGGTGGGTCTCCTCCTCTGCAAGGGCACCAGGGCTGTGAGCAGCTGGTTCTCGAAACCGCCGGCCCCACACCACCCGCAAGCACTCTCTCTGCCTCACAGAGGGGGCTCTCTATAAAGACCAGCTAAAATCAAATTTACAACAGCCAACCACCATTCTTAAACCTCAACTGCACTACAATTTCACTTTATGATTACCCCAAAGACAAAATAATGAAAAACTGCAGCTCTCTGACCATGACAGCAGCAATTTAACATTTTCAAACTGAATGCACACACCGCTAAGAAATCTCATCCCACGTGTCGTAGCAGCAACCGTGGAGCCTGCGCCCTGCACGTTCCTCTGACCACTTGTTCCCTGTGCTGCATCTGTCATTCACACGCTACTCATGTCACCTGGCTAGGATTCTTCAACCTCCCAATCAGAACCTCACTCTCGATGTTCTCTTTCTAAGCTAAGAGCTGATCAGCTCATCCGTTCTTTTACAGAGAACACTGTGATTCGTTCTGGCTAAGGACTAAAGACACTGGTCAGGTTTACACTCTGCATGCATCCGAGAACACTGAATAAACGCACTCATCTAGGGCTGGGTGAAAGAACACCACCAGGCACATGAGGCCCCTGGGAGCCGTCCCACCCACATGGGCGAGACCAAGGGAAAGTAAAGTATTTCACTTCCCTCGTGTGTGTGTGAACATGTTCCAAATCCAAGTGAGTTTTGCTTTCCTTTAAAGGACATGCCTTTGAAATATTTTTCAAAGAGACAACAAAGTATAAAAATACTTCTTAAAGACCATAAAAATGACATACACGTTGGACGGACTCAGTATTTACACCTCCTCGAGATCTCCTCTGATGTAATTATCAAACGGAGACTTTCTCCTAAAATTCACCTTTGGGCCAACATTTACCTCTTTCAAGCTTTGAGACTGGGGCCGAGCTGGCACTCTGGGTTCTGAAGGAGGCCTCACTGAACTTGCAGGGAAACCCTTCGTGATGGTATCAGGAAGCCCAGCCCCAAGGACTTCTCCGCAGCTTTCAGGAGTGTGACTCCAGTCCTGCAGACTATCCTAGGAGCCCGTGGTCAGACAAGCTCTGACCAGCCCCTCTGCCCCCGCTGGACAACCGCCCTCGGTCCCTTTACCACACATGTCGTGTCGTGTCAAGGGGATTGTGCAGGAGCAGGACACTGAACAGGGCTTCTACCTACACTTTACTACTGGCGTCACACACTCCAGGGAAGATGGATACCTCAAACAGGCTATAAGGTTTTAAAATCATTGCACGTGAACAGAGGTTAAAAGAACGGTGTGGAGGCCACACAGAAAGCCAAGCCCTGCAAGGGGCCACCCACCGTCGGCATCCAGCTCGGCCACGTTGACCACACTGTAGAGCAGGCTCCCGTCTCCGTTCTTCTTCAGGTAGCCCATCTGCAAGGAAGCACACTTGAGCGCCTGTTCCCCTTGGAGTAACAGCCCTTAACTTCCACAACTGGATAGATTTCTACTGAGGCTTCCACAGAACAAAGACCTATGATTATGACCTAACGTGGTAAGTCCCAAAAGGCCACAATGGTTATTCATTTCTCCATGAACAAAGAACACAGAGGCTCCTGCCCCAACACACCCCTTCCTGGGATTTAATTTAAGACCTGCTTACAGCTGACAACATGCACACGTGTGCAGTAGAGAACTTCTTAGACAGGCTCTCATGACCCCTCTAAAAAGAGCTTTCCAAACAGAAAACTTTACCTAGAAACAACCGTTTACAGTACGTCAGAAGCCTGAACAAAACGATCCGGAACAAGACACTGGTCAACATGCATCATGTTACTGATGGACAGCCCAGAAGCTTCATCTCTAAAGTAGTAGGAACATGTTTCCATTTGAAAACCAACCACCGGGGGCCGGCTTGGTGGCATAGTGCACTCCAGTCTGGTGGCCGGTGGTTCAGGGTTCAGATCCCAGGTGATGACTCACGCACCACTTGTCAAGCATGCTGTGGCGGGCATCCCACATGAGAAGTGGAGGAAGATGGATGCAGATGTTAGCCCAGGGCCAATCTTCCTCAGCAAAAAGAGGATTGGCAACAGATGTTAGCTCAGGGCTAATCTTCCTCAACAACACAAAAAAGACCAACCACTAAACAAGACCAACTCCTCCTCTACAGGCCATCGGGAGGACCCGGGAAGAGGAGGCGCCTGTGCGTGCTGGTGTATGTGGGGACAGAAGAGAAGGGATGGCAGCCTGGCCTGGGTGCTGGAACCCAGGGTGGGGCCAGATGTCCAAGGGGAGCAGCAGGACGGGAGGGGAAGCAGGGCCCAAGCCGGGTCAGTACAGCACAGGGGGTGGAAGACTGTTACTGTTGATCACATAACTGGATTAAGGGTACCAGAAGTCAGGTTTCTCACCACAGAACTACAAAATGAAAGAATGTGAGGCAGACCACATGGTGAAGATGGAATCAGAGGTTTCAGTGTGAAAACACAGTTTTGATGAACGTAGACACGGGCGTCAGTGTGGGTTTTCTTCCATAAGCTGTAGTATATGTATGGCCTTTCCCAGCTCTGTTCACTAAGGGCCACACCCAGCACCCACGTCTTGCTGTCTGAACGCCGTTCTCCACTAAGGAACCAGAGCTCCTTGGAGAAACGGCCGATTCCAGGGCTGCAGAGCAACACAAGTGCAGAGCAGTGGGTGCAACAGGACTACAATGTAACCCCACAGGGAACCTTAACCTTTCTAGCAAGCACGTTAAGACTGAGTGAAAAGAAATAGACAAAAATAACCTTAATATATTTTATATAACCCAATATATCCAAAGTGTTATTTCAAAATTCTTTACATACAATCCAATGTGCACTTCACAGACTTAATAAGATAAAAAGTATATACAATGACTTAATAAGATAAAAAGTATATACAATTTTAATAAGTTTCTATATAGGCTACACGTTGAAATAAGACTTAGGAGATATCAGGTCAAATAAAACACCAGGATTAATTTCACCTGTGTCCTTAACACAACTACACGGAAGTTTAAAACTGCAGGTGTGACTCACACTCTCTTCCTACTGGACAGGCTGGTCTAGAAGGTCTTCTTGTGTCAGAGAGGAGGAGAAGGTGCTCAAAGGATGGCGGCACCTCCTCCTGAGAACCGGCAGCCCAATGGACAGGCTCCCGCCGGCCACACCTGGGTCAGACCCATGAGTGACTGCAGGTGCACAAAGGTCTGAGTAGAGGGAGAAAAGGATTCCCTGCTCTGGAGAAGCCTGGCGGGCTCGGCCTCCATCCAGTGATGGAGATTAACACCCCCACTAAGGGTGACCCTGACCGCAGGTGTCCGCACACTACACACCGCTCCTGTGAGAGTCCTGCCTGAGAGGCACCCCCGGAGCCCCTTCTTCCCTCCCAGGAGATGGGGCCAGCTGGCGCCAACGGCCAGTGAGGATGAGGAGCCCAACCTGCCGGCAGCATGTGCTCCTGAGCTGGACCCTCTGGTGACAATGCACCACTGGGACACTGGCAAGGCTCTAACCAGATGCCCGTAATGTCCTGATGTTAACCTCTGGATCTTGATGGCTGTGCCACTGTCCTGGCAGAAGAGCACCCACCCCATCAGGCAGTGCTACCTTGCCGCCTGGGAGGAGTCGGTTGATCCTGTCCCGAGCCTCGTCGGCCGCATGCTCCACCAAGGCCAGCACGTGCTCTTCTGCCGTGCTGTCGGTCAGGCTGCAAGCATTTCCTTCTGGCTCAAACATGCAGCTACAAGGCAGGAACAGCGCACACGTCACCAGGAGGCGCACGACGCTCCCACCTCACCCCTATGGTCAGTCCCCAATGCCCCCAAAGTCACACAGAGGACTAGGAGGAGCTGCACAAAGTACACTGGAGCTCTCTTATCTTCCAGTTCTCACCAAGCCAAACAAGACACTTTCATTAAGGTGAAGAGTGAGTACAAGCCAAGCACACGTTCCGTATTTCTCAAGTCTCAACTACAGATTTCAGTCACTTCAAGAGCAAGAGAAGGAACGTGACAGGAGCCTCACTGGTTACGGTGTCATTCAAGGCACCATTAGAAAAAGTGACACAAATCCCTTGGATGGTTGAGGCTCTGGCGGCGAGCCTGGGCTGGGAGTATGAGGCTGCTAGCGGGGGTGGAGAGCAGCCCCCGCTGCAAGGCCCAAGGGTCACCCTGAGACTTCAGGAGCTGGGCCTCAGGTTCCACATGAAGGAGCTGTTTTTGATTCAAACAAACAGCTCCTGGCTGCCTCATAACAGAACCTAAGCTCCTGAGGAACCATGCTCCACCACCAGCTGCACAAGCAGCCCATCTGTGAGCTATTGCAAAGACATTGGCACGGACACAAGGCTCCCTTCCCTCACCCCTCTCCCCGTACAGCACCCGCCTTCCCGAGGTGGGCGTCCAATTCGACAGGCAAACCCCCTCTCCTTTACCTGATGACTTCTCTACTCGGCCTTTTGGATTTCTTGGCAGTTTCTACTTGTACAGGTACAACTTCAGGAACAGGTTCCTCAACAGCTGTATCTTCGTTGCCCAAAAGAGCTGCCTGCTGAGAAAAATCCATGTCCTGCATAAACGACATGCTGCGCTTCAAAGCTAACAGCCGCTCCTAGAATCAGAAAGGACAGAGCAGCAGGGACTTTACCTCTCCCTCAGAGCCAAGGCACCATGACGATGGGATGGGATGCGGATGGCCACAGCCTCACCCGGCCTAAGAGCTAACCTTCCACGGCGGTGCAGCGGGAGGTGGTCGTGGGGGTCAGCACCAAACGGTGCGGCTGACTGGCTGGTGAGCGCTCAAGCCGGCAGAGGGAACAGGCCAGAGGACACACGGGCTGCACCTCACCTACAGGCTGATCAGGCACAAGGCACTGGTCCTAGACGTGTGACACATGCAACCTGGCTCATGGGACAGGCCTGGGAAGCCACTCAGGATGGCCAGGATGTCCTGTCTGGATTCAGTGAGGCAGCCACACAAAACAAACCCACAAGGCTGGCTGCAACCCAGTGAGACAGACACCCAGGCTCCAGATCAACATATCCAGAACTTTCCACCAACCCTAAAGGAGATGTGACAGCTAGGTCACGAGCAGGAGCAGAAAGAGAAGAGTGTTTGGAGGAGAGGGACGTGGAGAGGGCGGCCTGGGACGTCTACCCTAGAGCAGAGGGGTCCACTCCGTGGCCAGTGACAGATGGATGGAGGCATGTCATTCACTGTGAGTGAGCTTGATCAGGCATACAAAACGTAGAGGAGGGCAACACTCGTTTCTGTGGCTTTGTACCCTTAGTGGGTTTCTTACTTTGCTCATCATCTTAAAGCCTGCGTGAAGGATCTTCTTCGCTAACTTGTAGTACACAGTGTCTGGTCTGTTGTATGTCATTGCATTATCACACATCAGTTTGAAATCTGCCTGAAAAGAAAAAAAGAAAAAAACTCATCAAGTTTAAAACACCACCGAGACAACAGCAAACAGTTTGGATTCCTGTCAAAAGAGGCCAAAAGGAAGAGGCTGAAATTAAGTGGAAAACAATTAAATTTGGCTCTTTGATTTAAAAAATAATTTTTAAAAACTCTTTCAAAGAAATTTTCATAATTGTTCACCGGTCTTTACTTACACGAAAAATTTTCCAGTGAGAAGCTCATCAAAGTCTGTAACTCCTTTTTGAGCATAACATGTACATTTTTAAGAGGAAAATGATAGTTCCCTCTGCTTCCTTCCCGTCTCCACCCCTCTTCCCTCTCTTTGGGAGGAACTCAGAAATAAACAGGAACAAGAACCAATAACCGGGGTCTTCTACGCAAAAGTCGAGGGATGAACTGAGAGGTGGACACAGTCATGTTCTCTATCTCTGGGATTTTTCTACAGAATTTCAAATTTTGTGTATGGACAGTTACTCTAGTACTGTTAGAAAAAGACTTCCTTAAAATAAGAAGTCATATTGAACAACAATTTATATTAAAAGGCGATTATTTGAAACATCAGTATTTTATCATCCTAATCAAATTACTCAGCACACACGTGTCACAGGTGAGTCAGACGTAAGGATGGACAATGACCGCTGAAGCCAGGCACACCAATGTAGCGAGTGCTATCCAGGGCCCTCACCAAGTCACTGTGCCAGTGTCCCCAGGGCAAGCCCCCGTCCATCACAGGCCCTGACTGTGATGGGTCCAGAACACCCTCCTGAGGACGCGGGATGGGGTGGACGCTGCTTACGTCTCGGCTTCGTCACTGGGTAGGAGATCAAATTGGGGGCCGGCAGCCAGGACTTTAGGGCATGCACGACTATTAGCCACCTGTCCTCTGGGGGCGTCACCCCATCCTCCTGTGAAAACTTTCCTTTTCTCCCACTCTCCTTTAGTGAGCAAACCCTCTCAATAATGTCTCCAGTAAATAAAAATAGAAAGCCAAGCTTTTCCAAAGTTAAAAGAACCTAAGAAAGACATCTAATGCCTTTTTCTAAATGACATTATTGCCAATGTTGTCAAGCATTCGTTTTGCTTTTCCCCCCCGTCTCAAAGCTGATAAACAATTTCTACCTCTCATAGCCAGTACCAAGAAAGAGACAGAGTTAAGAGCAAAATACTCAGGAGATGCAAGAATTTACTATTCTAAAAAAGTTAAACTCTCAGTTATTATAAGACAAAACTAAGAGTCAGAAAAATTATATTTCTAAAAACACCCATTCTGGAGCCAGGCCAAATCAGACACATCCTTGCCTGACCCAAGACATTTCTAATAGCATGCAACATATGGTCCAGCTTCTAGACCAAAATATGGAGAAAATTACAACCAAGCCATTTCCTTGAGGCTATGTTTGTGAATCAGCCCAAACACAGAAACACATGAAAACTTACAAATGGAAACAACTTAAGAGGGATATAGTGTTTACTGGACAAAAACACACACAGAGCTTCATAACAATTATTTCAGGAACTAAAATTAATTTACCTTAAATTCCGTAACTGACTTGTACTCATTAGCTACAATTTTGTCTTTCATTGTGCCAAAATCCATTGGATGTTTTATTATCATCGAGTATCCAGGAGCAATTGCATCCGTGACAGGAAAAGCAAAAAATCCATGAGGATCTTTTCTGAAACAAAAACACCTTTATTTAAACTGGAAAAACCCTAAAATCTAGATTTTCAAACAAGACAAAATCCCTTACAATAAAAATGTGATACAATTGAGCATATTTTAAGTTTGTTTCTTAAAAGTAGAAAATAACATTTACACTCTTTAAGATTGTGGTAGGTATCTTGGATACACTAAAAACTCCAAAACTACCACCCTGGCTCCAGCTGTGACGTCTACACCACGGTGTCTCTGACACCCCCCCCCGCTTACTCAGAGCAGAGAGAGCAAGGAGGTGTTCAAGAGCCCTCCCTGCTCTGCTTCCACACGGTGCGTTACCCAGTGAAGGTGAAGTGTCTGCTCCACAGGTGATGGGGGCAAGAACCACTCAGAGAAAGACAGCCTGAAGGTCCCCAAGCATAAGCTCTTTAGAAACACTCTTTACCTCTGGAGCTGGCGGAGGAAATGCTCTAGTAGTTGCTGAATAGGCGTGCTCTCGTTTTCAGCTGACAATTTAAAAAGCAAAAAAATAAAATTGAATAAAAAGATTCTGGTATCACTTCACCGGAGAACTCTAATTTCATAGTATTTATATCTCTGTTTTGTGTTTCACAGCGGTTTAGGTTCCATCAAGAACTGGGTATAAAGATAAACCAGACCCAACCTTGGCCCCCACACAGCTCAGCTGGGCGGGAAAGGGCACCCACAGCATAAGTCCCAACAACTCTGTACAGTGCCAATATGCCTTCAAACAACAATATGGAACCATCACTCATCAATCTGTTTCCAGCCCTTATCACTACTGGGCGTGGTACATTCCAGACCAGGCATGAAGAAGCGAACAAAGGCTTTGGACATAGAAGTTCATCCGGGATTCACCGATTATCATTTTACTTAAGAGTCCTAAACTTCTGGTCATGCCTCTGTTCCTCTGCACAGGGTTCTTGTGAGGACTGCAGTTGTTAACTACGTCTCTGGGCCCATGGTGTGAAAACACAGTTTTCTGGGAATGTAAGCACAGCTGCCTGTACAGGTTTCCGTCTGTAAGCTGTATGTGTGTATATGATCTTTCCTAGCTCTGTCCACTGAGGGCCACATCCAGTGCCCAGATCTTGACTTCCAAAGGAACCAGGGCTCCTTAGAGAAATGGCCGATTCCAAGGATGACTCACAACAGGAGGGCGGACCACTGGGTCCCCAGTAGAAACACTCTTTGAGAGTGACCAGCGTAAGTCCAAGAAGGCATCATCTGACTGCTGGCTCTTCAAGCATACCGGAGGGGAAACACTGGGTATGCGACCGCAAACAGGTAATCACATTACCTCAAACAATTACCAGCAACTGTGCCAGCTTTGCAGACACATTTATCTAGTGAACTGTGGTTTTGTGCCTGACCTTCTCTACTCGCCAACATGCCCAGTGGCCCGAGTCCTAGCTGTTCCCCATGGAAATGACTGGCACAGGGGAGGGATGTTGCCAGAAAACAGCACTCCCCCCGCCCCATGATTGCGATATAATACATCCCACTCCCCCCCAGCAAATCAGAGGTGATCAAACCCAAAGTCAAGAAGAGAAACACCTAAGGAGCAAACCTGCCTCCACTCCAGTACCTCCTGACCACGTAAAAGCCACTGAGGGAAGTGAGCACACACAGATCAGAGGGTCTCGGACATTCCAGAAGCTTTCCTTCGGTGGAGCCAGCAAGCTCCCACGGTTTCTGATGGCCTGAATAACTGATTCCAGCACTAGACCCTCCCATCTATGATGAGCTTCTCAGATCATGGGCTTAAAAGGAGAGGCCAAGAGCAATCACTGGCCAAGCCTTGCTCCAGAAGTTCAAAGACGGCAGCAAGTACCTGGGATCCAGCTACACAGCGCGTGAGGCCCTGCAAGAAAAACGCTGTTCCGACCTTCCAGTGCTTGAAGGAAACGGTGTCAACTACGCTGCCACAGGGCCAAGCTCTAACGCTTTAGGACAGTCTCTGAAAGTGCTGACACTTGCCTGGCTGTGTCCGGCACGCTCTGACGGGCCGATCGGGGGGCGGCTCCACCTCTACCTTCTTCCCAGGGTCAAAGTCATCAGCTTCTCCCTCCGTGTCACAGTGCTCCTTTTCCCGCTTCCGCTTCTTCTCTTCCTGTGAGGCAGTCAGGGCAGCAAGAGCAACGCAAGCTGTTTTAAACAGATCTGTTTCTACGCGGAAACGTGCAGCTAAGAGAGAAAAACCCTCTTCCAGAGACTCTTCTCACGCTGGATTCCGCGCCCCCATACAGACCCTCCCCAGGGGTCAGGCGAGAAACCATGCGTGAAGAGCCAGCACTGAAGCACCTGCCCCGCACGGTTTGCACTTTGCTACAAACAGAACACCCCCTCTCCTGCGGCCGTGCAGCACTTGCTCTGTCTGCCATGGGGCTTGGGGCCACCACGCTGGATGCCGCCCTTCTTTACCTTTCGCTTCCTCCTTTCTTCATCATCAAGATGTTTCTCCTTCTCTGACTTTTTTTTCTTTTTCTTTTTCTTTTCTTTGTGTCTCTCTCGCTCATGGTCCGACCTATCGTCATAGTAACTGGAGTCATGGCCAGAGCCCGAGAGTTCAGTCACTTCACTTCCTCCAACCTTGAGAACCAGCTTCAGAGGCTTCTCCAACGGCTTGTCTGTGTAATCTGGAGAGACACAGATGGCGGCCTTCACCATCTCACCAGGATGCCTAGACGCACACAGCAATACCCAGCTGGGTGGGAAGGGCTGGCCCAGCGTGCGGTGTTACAGGGAGAACACTGAGGCCCAAGAAGGTAGAGGGACAGCAAAGGAATGCCAAGGCCACCAGGGAAAGATTGGGGGTGGCTGGGTGTCACTTCCCCGTCCTCTCCACTTCCTTCCCCTTCACACTACATTATCCTCAGGGAGGCCACGAGGGAGGTGGTTCCTGTCACTCTGTCAGGGGGAAGGCACAGGAGCTGGATCTGGGAGCCAGGAGCCCCATTCCCATGCCCAAACTCCCGGTCGGTGTTCAGCCCCTTCTGGTTCTGCAGCAGCTGCCACGTCCGCTAACATGGGAACTCGCTGCTGCAGGACCACCACACCAGCAGGGAAAGGGCGGGAGAGGACAAGCGACAAAAACGAACAGAGATGCTCCTCTCTCTTCTCCAGGACGCGGCAGGGAGATGCGCCAAACATTTGCGTCCCCGAGATCCCTGGAGTCCCGCTACGTGCCCAGGACCCCCGCCCGCGAGCCCGAGACCCCCGCCCACGAGCCCAGGACCCCCGCGAGCCGGGGATCCCCGCCCACGAGCTCCGAGACCCCAGCCCACGAGCCCAGGACCCCCGCGAGCCCGGGATCCCCGCCCACGAGCTCCGAGACCCCAGCCCACGAGCCCAAGACCCCCGCCACGTCCCGGGGACCCCCGTGAGCCCGAGACCCCCGCCGCGTCCCCGGGACCCCCGTGAGCCCGGGACCCCCGCCGCGTCCCCGGGACCCCCGTGAGCCCGGGACCCTCGCCCGCGTCCCCGAGACGCACGCCCGCCCGGCGTCACAAAGCGCGCCCGCCGCCTCACCCTCGTACGACGAGCGCCACTCGGTCTTGTGCTTCTTGTGCTTCTTCCCCATGGCGGCGGCGAAGTCAGGGCGGGGTCAGGTCGGGAGCGGAGGCTGCAGCAAGAACCCGGCCGGAGCCTGGACGCCACCCCGGGGCCCTGGGTCGC